CCAACGGGATTTGTTCGGTGACTATACAATTGTTCATTTGAAGATCTACTCACCGTAGCTTTGGGTTGGAGTTTTCCATGGCTGATCCGTCGTTGTCGTTTGACACTGATTAAAAGGAGACCGTCTGTACCATATCTCTGGTGCTTTGATAACGTTACATTGCCCAAATAGATAGGACAATGAGATCCACTAAGAATCCGAGGGGGGCCATTCTCGATCTATCGGATGTGCAGTGTTCATCGACGTATTTGTTATATAAAGAGCATGAAAAAAATCGTGATGTACTCTGCCCATACATCTGTCGGACATTTTCATCTCCATTGGTTCATGTCAATTATGTTTTTGGGATCTTCCATCAAACCGCTCCAGCTCCAGCAACCAAAAAATCTTCTATCTCAGCCGCCAGCAGATATACATGTATTCCAACAGATTCGAGAAACCTGCCGATGCCTAATATCAAGGTTGTCGGCTATGATAGACAGTCTAATTCCCCGCATAGCTGGAGGGGTGAGCTGCCTGTTTACTTGGTAGTATTTTTCAATTAATTATAAATTTCAGCATCACAATGACCCTGTGGGCGATATTCGGTAATGTATTCCTTCATTTATCTTTCATCAAGCTTATAATATGTAACTGTAGCTCTCTCACGCGTCGGCAATTTGAGATGCGGGAAGAAATAGAATACTGGCAAGCCTTGTATAGATCTAGAGAGCGCATTCCCCTGTCTTACTGGACCTATTATGGTTATGTGACGCCTAAACCAAAACGGCGTGGCATAAACTGGTCCAATATTCGGTTGGATCTCAATATGGCAGAGACTATCATCAAAATGAGTACTCCATCAGGAGCAGCCCTAGGAGAAACCGGTGTTCCCTCAATCCTCGTATTATCAGTAGTACCCCATCCTACCGATCATAGAAGCACAAAAAATATTGGAGAAAGGCCATGGAAATCTATCCCCCACTTATCTAGGTCAGAGCATGTCTATGAGTATAACGTTCATCCACAGCCTGATGGCATGAACTCGTCCGAAGACCAGGGGGAAGGTTTGAGGGGACAAGTGATATATATGATGGCTGAAAGGTAATGTACCTATAGTGTTTTGAAGCATTTCTGACACATAATCCCTAGTCGTGATGAGATGAGATGTAGGAAGTCGGAACGAGATGTGCCGAGCCAGACAACAGGACCACTGTGCTCAGAGGATTTTAGGACC